CCCCTGGGGTGTGGTGCAGGGCGGGGGATGCCTGGTCGGCGGGAACCCGGCACGGAACCCTCCGGCGTTGTAGGCGGGTGTGGGAAGCGTTCCCCGTTCTCCTTTTATTTTATTTTGATCGGTCTCCTCGACGCTCTTTCTCGTTTGGTGCGGTAGCTGGTCTTTCTTTCTATCATTTTGTTTCTCTTCCGAGTGGTTTTTGTACCCTATTTTTTTCTGTTTCTTCGTGGGGTCGTGTATGCCGGGTTTTGAGACCACGGGCTCCCAATCTTTTTTTTAGAGCTAATGTGAGAAACAACAACAACAACAACAACCACCGCATATGGAAACAGCAGGAGAGGTAGTGAAATTCCAAGGCATTTTGTTTCTTGTATTTTATCGCTCTGCTAACCCTTGGGGTCCATTTTATTTTGGTATACCTTTTCTAGGTACGTTAGCCTGTGACCACGGAAATTGACCGAGTCAAGTGCTGGATTAGTACGGAGAGATTGAGACAGAAGGAGGTACTGGATAGAGAGACCGGGATGGTTTTTAATGTGAAGACAACAACAACAACAACAACATTGACAACTACTCGTTGTGTTGTTTTCCGGTGCCACCTGGTTACCAATTTGGAACAGTTCTATCAGACTCTGGGAACTTCCCAGGACCCAGGAACTTTCCGGCAAGAATTCCTACATGTATGCTATGACACGCCGGTACATCTGTACTGCTATGGTATATGAAGTTCCTGCCCGAGAGTCGTTTTATTATTGGCACAAGTCTCTTCGTTCAAAGGTCGGTGGGCAAGGAGACACGAAAAAAGTGGATGAAGACAACACCCTTGCGCCATCCTCCCGAAGAGGATACCAGGCACTGACTTGATTGGCCGAGGTCAACATTCCAGCTTGTTGTGTAGCCCCAAGAAATGAGAGAAGGCGTGTGATTGCCCTCTGGTCTCTTCCCTTATCCCCAGCACTGGCGCGAGGGAAACTTGTCCTAGAGCAACTCGCCCACAGAGGAAACCGCCGCAAGAGGAGCATCTGCTCTCACCTCGTCCGATTGCTGCGGCATTCGTGGTTCCAATTCACTTAAACACGGCATCTCCTGCACCACGGCGGTGTTGTAGCGTGGTAACCTGCAGGCCGAGTAGGAGCAGTGGTCGGGGTCTTCCCACTGCCACATCGTCCTGTTCCATCTTTCTTGGTGGGTGGCAGTCCTTGGCAAACGGGATTGAGTTTCATTCAGAGGTCCAAGGTTCTCTAGCCGTAGGGCCTCACGATGGGCGCGGGATCGTAATGTGCATCACTGATTTTCGAGTGCTCTGAAAAAAAAAAAAAAGTGGCAGGGTTGTTCACGGAGAGGTTTAAATGCTCCGCTCCGTGACATTGTGCAATGAAACAAACCGCGCCGTGACATGAGAAAAAAGAACGCTCCACTCTGCGAAAATGATGTCTTCGGATGAACCGCTCCGGTGAGGTTTCCCAACAATCCGAACATGCTTTTTTCACGGAACGGCTCGAGCTACTCCGTCATACGTACTTCATTATTCACGGGTAAAACCGCAACATCCGCGGTTGGAACCGCAAAACAGCCTCGTTTTTTCCATGGAGTCACGGGTATCGCACGGCGCGAGCCTTGCGCAATACATGATGTGTGTGCATGGGCTTCCGCGTTGTCTATTCACCCACATGAAAACATAAACACAAACAGCAGACTAGAATAAGAAAGTGCCGGCCTACACACACACTGCACCTTGCATGGACAATTGACGGACAAGTTGCCAAGAGGGGACAAGGGGGTAAGGCTGGGACTAGTGCGTAACTATCGATGGCAGCCAATGAGACCTGGGCACGTCGAGATGGTTACTAGATAGGGCGGGGTACGGAGCCGCGGGGTACCGACTCAATACCTTGCAGCAGCCAATATACGTGAGTTGCTTTTCGCGTTCATTTTGAATTTTGAATCATCAACAACAGAAATACAGATTCAAATGGATTCCATGGGTCACGTTTTCTCAACGAACGGCCGTTGAGATTCCTGCGCATACAGCAGTACCGTAGGTGATGCAAGATACCACACTCTGGACCAATTTTCAAAGTTCGGTTGCTCCACACGACAAAGCGTGGTGGTGCCGAGAATGTTGGTGAAGGATCCGTCTCTTCGAGAGCTTTTCCGGCGAAGTCTCGCCGGGTTCGCGCATCCTCTTCGTCGTGGAATACTCGAGCTTTAAATTTCGATACAGGGGGTGTGGTACCTTATTTAACCGACGGTAGACCTGTATGCGTACGTCCTACGTGCGTTCCTATACCGATTGGGTCTTTCGGTGGTTTCTCTGTACAGAGTGACGCAGCAGCAGTGAAGCTATTCTCCGCGAGCTGTGTGTATGCCACGTCTTGTGTGGAGGCTGACAGAGGCCACGGGACCATAGGAGCCACGGAAGCTGAGGTGACGAGAGTCGACACTGCATGCATGCCAGAAGAAGATCCCGCCAATAAATGAATGGCACTTCGTGTGTAATTTTTTCCCGTGGCACAGCTCTGTTTCAAGTTGACCCATCCCCACACACAACTGCAACAACAAAGGTATCCACCATGGGATGTGTCCATGTTCCGTCTTGTGTGGTAATTGATACAGACCCGACGCTCAGAAATTGCGAGGCCGAGAGTCTGGGACAGCCTGAAAATGGCACGCCATCTTCTGGGATTCGTTTGTACAAGTGTGCTTTTTCCTCAGGCCAAGGTTTGGTTTACATGTAACGAAGCAACAGCAATGACAATGGCATCCGCCACTTGCTCTGTGTATCGCTCCCTTCCCCCGGCTGACACAGCAATGGCGGCGGTATCACCAGCACAAGCAGTGGAAGCAGCAGCGGCCGCCACATTAGCAGCACCAAAGAAGACAGTGGACGCAGCAGAGGCGTCCAAACCTGCAGCAAGAGCATCCATTAAATTGGAAATTAACCCACCGGTCGTGCGGGATAGGTATGCTCTTGGCTTACTGGGTACGTTCTTCAATGCTTTGTGTACTCTCGCTGTGCTTCATGTTTTTCCACCTAATCTCGCGTGTTGCACGTCGTTTGAATAAGTTTGATATCTAAGACTCTACTTATCGCATGCATTGGCTTTCCGAAGAGAGGCTTCGGTTGATAACAGCGGGCTCCCACTGCGTTTGCATTTGGTGGACCCTTGTATTGCGTAACTCTTCCTGCTGTTTCGATCACCTCGTTCAGGAGAATGTCGAGCGGCGACAACGGCGTCAGCAATGATTTCGGTGAGAACGGGGACGGGAGAGTAGGGACGGCCGTGTATTTCATATGGTTCATGACTACCCATGCTCTTGCTGCCCGCTGCGTATGTCGCGTCATCTGCATTTCCTGTTTGCGCAATCATGATGCCATGATGTCGCAACCGGTGTCATGTTGTACGCAGGCTCGACGTGTTCGGCTGGAACCGAGGTTGGTGACATGACGGTGGCAATCAAGGTGAGACTTGAATGTCATTGCGGAAGGTGAGCAGTTCGGCCACATGTATTGTCGGAACCTCCGCATACCCCCCGACTGTGCCAGTGATGGATGGAAGGGGTGTCAGGGCAATAATACCTCCAATGACTTGCGACTATATTCACTTTTCTCTACCCTCGGGTGGATCCCGTTCATGCCTGCCGTACTCTTCGCCATGAAGACCTGCGAGTCAGACATGTTGGAATCGGACAAGGAGGAACATTGCACACCACAGGACACCGAAGTGACAGGAGAGGAGCACGAGTTGCCATACGTCGACGATGTTGTTCCAGAGGTTGAAAGCACCAATGAGGAAAGGGAGGAAACCGAGGTAGGTATTCCAGGTTGTCTCGTGCCGTTGTTTGGGTTCGAGATAGAGTTTGCTGGTTGTACCAGAGACCCGCGTTCCTGCTCAGTGTCTCCACGATACCGATCCGTAAACACACAGCTGCACCTGATGTTCATGGCTATGGCTACGTGTGTGTTGAACCCCGTGTGGTGGAAGAAGTTCAACCGTCAGCACCCGCTTATTACCATCAGAAGTACACGTTGTGCTTGATATTGGAAAGTATGACCCTCGTGTCACTTTGTCTCCACAAAGTTGGTCACCACAAAATTGTTGCTGGTCCACGTCGCCACTGTTTGATCGGCCGAGATTGATTGGAGGTGGCAGCAGGTATATCGGTTATCGTCTTGAGTGATTTTGGATACTGGAGTTGTACCATGGACAACACTAGGAGCTTCCCTCCCTCACTCCCACCTTGTAGAAAGATTCCACACACTATCCCACCTTCTTGCAGGCACAACAATGTAGTGGCCGTGTGTTGGGTTGAATAACATGATCAGGCCCTTCCCGAGATGGATGACGCGGAAGAGAGGCGGGGAGAAGACGAGCACGGCGAGGAGAAGGAGGATGAGGAGCAGGAGGAAGGACACGAAGAGGAGGTATTCCAACGGTCATGACGTTGTTTCCGTATTACAGTGGACATGTTTGGTACCTGTCGCACCGAAGGGGTACTGGTGGAGAGGGATTTGGATAACTGCCGACCCTCACTGAGAACATTGTCGGGACGACCTGCTTGGAAAATCGCCGCTCTTTTGGGCAATTTTGAGCAACGTTTGACACACCGGCGGGTCAGGGTAAATGCATCCAGTTGAAGTTGATACAAGTCACCGGAGAGACTTTGTCGAAGTCTTAAGGTTCATTTAGGATTTTGTCTTGACCTCGTCTTTGCTTTTTTCCCTTTGTCCGTTCTACCCCGACAAGCGGTGTTGTTAATAGTACGTCCACCTCTGCATGGTCAGATTTTGCGGATGGCTGGATGCACTTCCCAATGTTAGGGTGGGTTGAATTTTCTGTGAAACCTCAGACTGACTTTGTGGACATGGCGCTTGCGGCATCAGCGAGCACATTTCTTGCACTTGTTGGATGACTTGTTGCAGGGAAGGTGGGGCAAGCGCAAGTTGTGGGGGACAGCCAAGGGCCTCCCGCAGTGCAGCGTGCCGACAGCTGGCAGTCGGCCACCCAACGTCGCTGAAAGGTGAACAGGAGTGCGAAAATATACATGTTCGAGCGTGGTCACCGGGTAAGATTGCGGAGATCAGCACCGTGTAGCTGTGCTCCTCCAGGGATTCAGGGTTCAAAGTGTCCAAGCCAACACCTTTTCACGTCATTCCCCAACATGTTCGACTCAAGACCTTTCGATTCACTGAATTCCCATTTGTTCAGTGTCTGTTCGACATTAGTCTGTTACCCTGTAAAGCAGCGTTTGCGACATTCTACCCCCATTTAGACTTTAGATGCCATGTCGGTCGTTTGGAGTTCAACCATAGGACATTTCGCGAATCTGTTTCAGGCGCCGATAAGCTGCCGCCATATCGGAACACTACGCAGACATACACCTGTACACCAGCCTGCGGCTGCTACCCCAGCCTAGTACCCCTATATGGATTACCCTCTGGATGTTGGGGGTGCAAGGTGGCGACCGTACTGGCTTGTATGTGATCCTGGCTGTGTCAAACACACGGTCACGAGAGCCCGCACACTAAAGGCTTGCAGCGCTTTGCGTTTGACTTTTTCTCGGGAGCTGGCTACCGCGATCGGTGCGACATAGATTGGGGAGGTGCTGTCCTTATTTTGCTTTTTTTGTTGGGCAAGGCATGCGGGGAATCGCCTAGTTATTTCCAGCGGGTGGCTCTCACCCACCTGCACTTTCTTACGAGAAAAAACTCAGGCCGAAGGACAGATTCAAAAACACCGCGCCACCTGCCGAACGACATGTGCATTCCATGTCACCAGTGTGCACTTCGTACACAGCTTTCTTGCTTTCTTCGGGAGTAATCGAACCCCCGCCGCAACCTTAACGTTTTTTCTAGTCAACGAAAAAGTCTAACAGAGATCCACTCAGAGAGAGAAAGAGGTAGCGAGGGAGAGAGCGAGATAGAGCGAGGTAAGAGAGAGAGAGAGAGAGAGAGAGAGAGAGCGTGCAACACGAGACCGCCTTGACGGGCTGCGTCTACCTTCTGGTCCTTATTTTCCGTTGAACGTAGCATTGGACTCGGGCTGCACGGCCCTTTTCGTTTTGCCCGCCTCTATTGCTAGAGGGCATCTCTTTGTGTTTGAGCAGAGAAGAAAACGCAAGAAAATAAGCACGTGCGTATTGATACGAAAGCAGTGCCTCTCAGCCAGTATCCCTATGTGCACGTTCCTTGTGGGTATCTGATACGGTTTACGACGCTTGTTTATCTCTACGTGATGTCATTACCTTTGTGTCGCGTTAATTCACACACGCACTCCCTCTGGGGATCCCCCAGATTTGAAAGTGTCACAGAGTGTTGTTTGGCAAAGGCTGTCAGCGACTACCCGGTGCTCGCTCGATGTACTGTTCTTTGCACTTCGGAGGTCAGACGCCCGGAGCGATTTTCGTCCATTCCATCATGTTGCCTTTTATGAGATGACCCATGGGCTACCATTTTCGGACTCTGCTCTCTCGGCATCGATTCGATATCTCATTCGAATACCACCTCTTGCGTACATTTGCCGATGATTCTTGCTTGTGTATCGTCGAAAACATAGATCATAGCGGCCCGTTCCCTTCTCTTATGGGTGCGGTGCACCAAGCATTTTTCCAAGGGCAATCCGGTTGCACTTTGTCGAGTGAAGCAGATGGAGGGCGGACCTAGCGCACTCGCCAAACGCACGGTGATCTAACCTAACTTCATTAGGTTTGGACATCGCCTGTCGATACGAAACCCTCGGTGGTTTGTTTGCCAATGACTGCGACAAATGGTATGCTGGAGTCAGCCCCAAGATTGAGCCGTCCAAGCGCCAACGGAAGGCCCCCGAGCTGGAGACAGCGGGAAAATGTGGCGATGTTGGAGCGGCGGCAGGAATCAGGATGGTGAGGTTTGTTGAAAAGCGTTGTTCTAGTATGTCCATGAAAAGATGACGGTGTGGTTTGCCTGTGCATTCTTCGCTACAATTTATTACGCACTCACACTTTGTCTTCCATCCGGACGCTGATCGGAAACATTTCTTCGGTAGTGGGGTAGTAGGCTCAGCAGGGTTGGTGCTAGGTGACACATCAGTAGTGCACCGCTGGCGTCGTCGACCACGCTTGCATGAGTAGTCAGTGGACAGAAGTGTTGACGTTGAGTTCGGTGGGCCATGGCACTATTGGTTTTGACTGTTGCGTTGGGTGTGCTGTGGGGGGATACCTGCAGACATGGTGACGCATTCATGTTACTGCTCGCAGCCGAAAAGCCAATTAAAAACGTATCTCCGGAACTACAGATTGCTGACGACAGCATTTGAAGGATTGCCGTTTCATCACAAACTGAATTGCTATGTTGAACGTACCACATTCAATTACATCAAAAGCTTGCTTGAATATATCAAATTGGTTCGTTTGAGGTTGACGATGATCGCTGTACCTGATCACGGACTCGAAATAGCGACGCTACGGCGCAACTCATTGCGCACGTTTTTTCGATTGTTTTCGATTTCAACTAGTTGATTGGCGCAAAGGAAAAGTAATTACGCCAAGCGGATGTGGAGTAGGGAAGAAGGGCACGACCCTAGGGAGCTGGTGTTTCCCGCCCGACACTACTCACTTCACGAACAGACCGAAAGCATCTGAGCGAAACTACAGCCGGTCACGCTGTTCGTCGATTCTCGCATGGGAGGCAAAGACGACATTTATTGGTCTGCGCCGAGCTTGAGAAATCGAAAGCCCACACATGACGAAGATCTCAGTAAATGGGGCATTGGTGGTGGAACACCGAGGGGTAGTTCATCACGAGGAAAAGCAGAGGTTTGAAGGACAAGTCTGAACTATCTGTAATAGACGGGCAAAAGTGGTATTGTTGTGTACCATGAAGTTGGTTTTCGTTTGCTGCTGCCCGATGTCGCGCTATACCTGCTCAGAACAAGACATGTTATACAGTAGCCCTGCGCCTGACCCCCCAAAATGTTGTATGCGCGTGGTACGGCTATTCGGCTTTCTCTCGCCAAAACAAAGTTTTTCCGCTCGTCCGGTTGACGACGCCAAACCTTCTTTTGACCTGATGTTATACAGCGAGAGGGAAACATGAAATACTCGATGCCACGAACGAACTGGCTCTTGCACTTCAGTACACACCCTGACCAGAACACATCTATGAACTCAACGGATAGTTTTTCAATCGGCGGAAAAAAAAACATCAAACCCTAAAAATACACGTGATTTATTGTTTTCTTTCGAATTGCCTTAATTAATATTTCTGTAGCCTACGGAGGGAGACATCCCCCGTACCACACGTTCCGCACGGCACAAAGCCTCTGCGGTATCCTAAAGTGTCTCTGCTACTAAAACACAAAATCTCCCTCCGAATACTACCAGACGGGACGAAACTGTTGCACAGTAGCAGTCTCGGACGATTGAGCCTCCCAATGGTACGCACTACCATTCAGAAAACTCCCCAATGCTACGCCATACTTCTACGTGGCAAACGGTTGCACCAACTCCGAGTCACAGAAATATTATGAGGCCTCTCCTAAGTGAGCCCTCACTCGTAACATCTCCTATGCCCCACCTTCGAAAGAACAGGGGTGGGTGGGTGGGGGGGGGGTGTGTACTCATAGTCGTGCATGCCGTAGTCGTTAGACCATTGACCTCGCATCCCTACAAAGCCGGGACGGAGCACGCCGGGTTCTCACCGGACCAGGCTCTCACATCACCAAGCGCGAAGCGCCGTGAG